ACCCCACCGCTGCCGCCCGTGTGGCGAAGTGTCGAGAGGGAGTGCGGCCACGCAAGTGGACTGCGTGTTCCTCCAGTCGTTCCTTCCCCGCGGCCGCCCTTTCTCTCGTCTTCCCTCCTCCTGCATGCCGGCCCATTCGCTGTGTAGTGCCCCCCTGCATCGCTGCCACGCCAGAGCGGATCGTCCCGCCTCGCTGCCGAGGGACAGAGTTTTCCCCCGGTCGTCGGGGACGCCATGCGGGGAACACCGGGGAGAGAGGCCCTCTGTGGCCGTCTCGGGGATGTCTCTGGGCTGGTCTCGAGGCGTCGTACCCCTTCTTGGGCGCGGTCCTCCACCCTTCGAGCTGAGGGTCCCATGCAGCCACGAGTCTCGGGGGTGTCTCTGGCTCCCCTCGGGGCGTCGTAGCCCTTCTTGGGCGCGGCCTTCCACCCTTCGAGCTGGGGGTCCCATCCAGCCACGGGAGGCCCTCTGGGGCTGTCTCGGGGGCGTCTCTGGGCTCTTCTCGAGGCGTCGTAGCCCTTCTTGGGCGCGTTCCTCCACCCCTCGAGCCGAGGGTGCCATGCAGCCCCACGGGAGGGTGCCTCCCACGGCCAGGGGAGCACACAGACCACCCCCCCGGAGGTCTCCCAGAGCTCGTCGGGCAGACGGGGGAGCCGGACTCCAAGGAGTCCTGTTCGGGCCCAAGTCCTCATCCTCTCGGGCGTCGCCCTGGATGCGTGGCGCGTCCTCTCCCGCAGTTCATGGGGCTGGTGTACATGATGCGCCGCTGACGGCACCACCACCAGCTTTTTGCCTCCCGGTACTTCGCCTCTGGGTTCCTGTTCAAGGCGTTCCTTTGCATGCACTTCGCTTTCGGCACCGCCTGATCCCGGGGCTTTGCCCTCTCTTGGCCTCGACGTGAGGCCCCGCCTTTTTTTTCCCCCCTCTGCTGATTAAAGCTGTGCGTGGCCCGCTTAGCTTCTATCGGAAGAAGCTCGCTCTCGACCCGCGGATCAAAACAAATCTTGTTCGGGCCCAAGGAGTCCTGTTCGGGCCCGGCCTGATTGACCAAATTCACAATGATCGAAGGAAGTCAAGCTAGAAGCAGGCATGGCAATCGGTTGTAATGAGAGGGATGGAATGCCAGCTAGGAGCACATCTTGGCTCCCGAAACGGGGGGGCCATGAACTCGTGCCATCCTACACCTTTAGCAATGGCCATAGTCGGCAGCAGCTCAATGTGCGCCTGAGACAGTTCGTTTGACACCGAAACTTGAACCCTGTGAGCTGGCGTGATAGCCGTGATGCCCCACGGAGCCTGCGAGGACGTGCCGGGGGGGAAGGCTTCCGTCCTTCCAACGTACAACCGAAAAAGGTCTCGCAACGATACCCCCCCAGCCCTGCAATCATACCTGCCTTGATGTGCTCAGCCCACAACTCTGAACGGACACTGATCTAGTTACATCGCACGATCAAGTAGGATGTCGACAGACACAACTACAAGCTCGAAGGGATATGTGTGTGCTTCTGCAGGGAAGTTTCAGCCGCTTGTTGAGTGTCACCCTCGCGACGCTGCCCAAAAAAACGAGTGGCACGCGTGCCCTGGCTCTGGCACCAAGGAGCTGCGAGGGACAGGAGGCTTTCGCCTCCTTCCTTCATGAGTTTCCTTCTGTGGCCTGGGGGAGAAGACAAACGAGCGAACGACGACGACGAACGAAAATAAAGGTGTCCGAGCTCTCCAACACAGCCGTGCAAGAGAAGATTGGCGATCCGAACTTGCCGCCTGATCAGCTTTCCCGGTCTTCTGTCGCCCAGAGGGCCCGAGCACATCGTTGGCCTCGACGGGCCACCCCACGTCCGATGGCAGAGGGCCGGGCTCATCGCGATCACCTGCCTCGGATGAAGCCAGGGTCTCTGTGGTCCACCCCGTGGTGGAGGAGGAGGAGGAGAGGTGGAGGAGGAGGAGGAGGAGGAGGAGGAGGAGGAGGAGGAGGAGGAGGAGGAGGAAGCCAGGGTTTCTGTGGTCCACCCCGTGGTGGGCTGGGCAGTGCCTGCAACATGCTCGGAGGCCTGAGCCGGGCGGCAATGACGTCGGACCGCGTATAGGCCGACTCGACCGCTGGGCAATTCGGCTTCGCCCGCAGCCCGTCGTTGACCTCTGACGCTGCATGCGCCTTCGCTTGCGGCTGCGACGGAAAAGAAGTAGGCCGACTCGAGAAGGGGGGCCGTGGAGGGTAAGCGAGGGGAAAGCCGAGCGGGAACGTGACCGCCCCTGGCGAGTCAACTCTTGCTTCTGCTGCTTCTCCACTGCCGCCATGGCTTCCCTGTCGGCCATGGGCATCGGGCTAACACGCCGAGCCGAAGATGGTAGACTGGACAGGATGGACGTCGGGACGAGACATGCCGCAGCAAAAGGCTACGAGACGAGGAGGAGGAGGATCAGCAGGAGGAGGACCAGTGTAAACCCAAGACGTATCAACGGTGCTGCAATCAACCCTGCCTCCAAGTTCCCTCTTTAATGTCCCTACAATAATGCATGTGCCCCATTGGAAGACAGCCGTCTGAGATCCCCCAACCGTGCCAAAGCACCATTCCTGGACTTCCGACGCCGCGGATCAACGTGACTGTGGTGTCTTGGGAATTCTCTATCGTGCGCAAACACTGTTCTGGGACTTCAACACCGCGAATCAGCGTGACTGTTACGTTCTGACTGTGTTAAACCGTGCCATAACATCATTCTTGGGTATTTGTCCATACGCATCCGTCAAAGTGTCGCAAACTTTTTAGACGAAGGTGCGCGGCGCTTAGGCGAGAGTCGCATTTCAAAGTAAGCCGTCCTATATCCTTGAAGCTGTTGCAAACTTGTAAGACGAATCTCTACAGCGTGAGCCGCCTTTTGTACACATATCCGCCCTCCATCCTTGACGGCTGTAATATGTTAAGACGACTGTACGCGGTACTTAGGCGAAAGCCACATCTTGCAAACCGTCCGCCCTCCAACTTTGAAGCTGTTGTAGAAGTCTTACAGGAGTGCGCGGCGCTACCGTGGGAACCACCTTTTTACCAGAGACCCGCTTTCCATCCGTGAGATCGCCGCATATTTTTAAGGTGAATGTGCGCAGTGCTCAGGCGAGAGCCACATTTTGAAAACCGCCCGCCCTCCATGTTTGAAGGTGCTGCGAACTTTTAGGACGAATGTGCGCGGCGCTCAGGCGAGAGCCCTCCATCTGTGAGTTTGTTGCGAGCCTTTAAGACGAAGGTGCGCGGCGCTGAGGCAACAGCGACATCTTGAGAAGGACCCGCCCTCCACTCGTGAAACTGCAAGTTTCAAGCTTCAGGATCAAGCATAGAACATACAATACAATTAAACCAATTAAGAAGGAAATAATCATACAAAACATTTAATGATTCAGGATCATACATGATGCGGAAGTCCCAGGCAACATGCCCAGCCCGCCCTACCGACGCGTCTGGGGGTGCGGCAGAGGGGAGTCATTCATGATACAGGGTTGAGCGAAGCAGCAGGAGGGGAGGAAGAGGGGGGGTGGCGGGGGATAGGCAGGGGATGATGAGCTGGTCTGATCGGCGTCGCCTGACATACTGCTACCGTGTGTGTGCGTCGCCCCCCCCCCCCCCCCCGGGGGCGCCGCGCGCGCCGAGAAGTCTTATAGCATAAGCTCCTTGGCAGGCGCTTTCTGGCCGTACCGCTCGGGAGACGATATATTACGAGATGGTTGTACTGTCTGTTCGGGAGGACGCACGCCTCCGAGGAGGACACATCGCACTAGTATGTCCTTGTGCGTCCCAGCTGAGAGGGATGCCTCGCCTGGCGCGCAGGCCACGCGGATTATGTCAAGAACATGATCACTGGTGCGGCTCAGGCTTCCCCTCGCCGCCCCTATCTACTGCCCAGCCTGGCAAGCCTGCCTGGGAGACGATTGGGGAGGGGGCGGCGTCAGATTTCACCGAGCGCGTTCCACTACTCGCAAAGTGCCTACTCGTAAACGTCCGACCAAAAACACACATGTGTGCCCTGTTGTGATGTATCGTGAACCCCCCGCTGCGGATCCAGGGCATTTGCGGGCAGCTACTTTGCGAGCAGTGGGACGCGCTTGTCACACCTCCTCCCACTCCTCCTTCTCCTCCTCCTCCTCCTCCTCCTCCTCCTCCTCCTCCTCCTCACCCCTCCTCCCCCTCGTCCTCCTCGTCCTCCTCCCCCTCCTCCTCCTCCTCCTCCTCCCTCCTCCTCTTCTCGAGTAGGGGGGGGAGGAGGAGGAGGAGGAGGAGGAGGAGGAGGAGGAGGAGGAGAGAGGAGAGGAGAGGAGGAGGAGGAGGAGAGGAGGAGAGGAGGAGGAGGTTGAAGAAAGAAGAAGTGAAAAGAGGAGGAGAAGAGGAGGAGAGGAGGAGGGGAGGTAGGGAGGGAGGAGAGGAGGAAGGAGGAGGAGGAGGGGAGGAGGATCCCCCCGAGCCGCCCGGTCTCCTGCGGACGGCCACTCCTTGGGGCGCGGCGCGGCGCAGCTGGAAGCCACGCGCAGCAGCCAACGGCCACCTCCTGCCTCCCTCCTCCTCCTCCTCCTCCTTCTCCTCCTCCTCCTCCTCCTCCTCCTCCACCTCGCTCCTCCTTCTCCTCCTCCTCCTCCTCCTCCTCCTCCTCCGTCACCCTCGGGAGGCCCTCGGGCCAGCGTGGCCCCGAGGTGGCCTCCGGCCGGGTGCCCCCGAGGCGGGAGAGGTCCAGACTCCCAGGCGACGCGGGAGGGTCAGGGCAGGCTTTCTCTTGCGATCTCGGCGTCTCGGGGCCGCTTCGGGCCGAGGGGCGCCAGGCTGCGGGGAGAAGCCCGCCCCTGGAATGGGGTCGAGGGGCCTGGGGCCACGACATGAACAAAGGCATAGCGTCGGCGGCCCGTGGGGGAGTCGAGAGGGAGGTGTGATGGAACGGATGAACTGGGAGGGAAGGGGTCGACCTGGAACGAGACGACCCGCCCGTAGCGAGCAGCCTCCAGAAACTGGCCCCATGTAGGATTGCTTGCTGCCAACTGGCGACCTGCTCGGTTTCTAGAAGACTCCCAGAGGTTCAAATGTAGCTCCGAGACAGCTGCAAGTTGCGAGGACCGATCAAAGACGGCTTAACAACCCCACGAATGTTTTTATGTGTTCGCGAGACAACCCCCCAGGAGGTCTCCGTCCTGCTCCTCCTCCGCCTCCTCGTCGTGAGTGGGGTAGGGTGGGCTGGGAGCGTCAATTATTCGTGGGTCGACTGGTGGATTGACATGTGCCTTCATGTTCCAAGAGGACTCCCTCCTCGTCATCGTCGGGGGTGGGGGAGGGCGGGTGGGAGCCATGGTCAGCTTGGGATGCAGTCGATGCGCTGCAGAGCGTTTGCGGGTTGGTCGGCAGGAGGAGGAGGAGGAGGAGGAGGAGGAGGAGGAGGAGGAGGAGGATGAGGAGGAGGAGGAGGAGGAGGAGGAGGAGGAGCAGTGTAAAGCCAAGAGTCATCAACGATGTTGGATAAACCCACCCTTCAAGCTTCCTCTTCATAGGCCCAATACAACGGTTCATTTTCATTGAGGGAACTGCCTCGTTGGAAGACAACTGTTCGAAGACCCTGAAGCATGCCAAAACATTGTTCTCGGGATTCCAACGGCACGGATGAACCAGACTATTGCGTGTTGACGATCCTGAGTCGTGCCAGAAAGCCATTCTTCAACACAGCGAACGAACGTAACTGGTGCGCCCGCGTGATCCTGAATCCTTTCAAAACACCATTTCTGGTACGTTGATGATGGGAATCCGTGAAACTCTTCCAACTTTAGTGAAGGAATGTGCGCGGCGCAGCGCGAGCCACATTTTGAAAAGGAGCCGCCCTCGATCCGTGAAGCTCTTGCAATTTTTTGAAACGAATGTGCGCCGCGCTCAGGCGAGAGCCACATTTTGAAAACGACCCGTCCCCAATCCGTGAAACCCTTGCAATTTTTTGAAACGAATGTGCGCCGCGCTCAGGCGAGAGCCACATTATGAAAGCGATCCGCCGTCAATCAGTGAATCTCTGACACTTTTAGAACGAATGTGCGCCGCGCTAAGGCGAGAGTCGCATGTTGACAACTGAAACTGTTGTCAAGTGTTAAGCTTCAGACTCATAAGTGGCGAGGATGTCTGAGGCGAAACGCCCGGCCCGCCCTTAAAAACTAACCTCGAGGTGCGACAGGGAGACGTTATTTACATGGAAACATGGCGGAGGAGGAGGAGGAAAAAGGAAACCGCGGACTGCCCGAATTCGGTGGCAGCAGCGTGCCAAGTCCGAGGGGGCCAACCTTGGCCGAGAACATGTCCTTTGAACCCATGCTTTGCATTCCGTTTCGACTACGTCCTCCTCCCCTCAGGACATCACGATTTCGTCGACTAAGTTTGCTCGGCATCGGCGGGAAGGAAAACGTCGAGCCGCTGCACGCGCACTCATATCAATACGAGTGGCATCTATACTGTCACATCTCGATCGACATACGCAGCACCATTACCGCGCGGCACACCGCCCAGCAGCCACCGCGCCTCCCACCTCGAGCCCCAACCGTGGCGACAACATGGGGAATAACAGCGAGGGGATCGGTAACAACGCTGTCGCCATCGAGATCGTCATCCAGCCGCGCGGGAGGCAGATGAGCCACGCCGCGACCCGCTGCACCAGCGATTTGGGCTGGCCTCGAGCGCTGGAGGAACGACAGCTGGACGGGCCAGTGGGCGAAAGACCGCCCCGACAGGTACTGGAACCAGACCTGCAATGGGAAAGGCAACAACCACAGTGGCAAGAACAACGCCGCGAGGAGCGACTACGACGCCGACGGCGAGAGTCAGAAGGTCAATGACAAGAGCAGAAGGGGCAAGCGCAAGGCAAATCACCAATACGAGCAAGACAGCACACCCAAAAAGGAAGACGCGATGACGGACTACAACTGTCACCTCACCCGTGCCATTCACAACGTCATGCAGGCGAGGAATAATTACGCCACCAGGAGACATGATTGGGAGTTGCCATTAGACGACCCGAAGTTCAGAGAAGACTGGAATACTATCACATATATTGAGCAGAGACATGCCGCAACGGCTATCGCGAAGAACGGCGCAGCTGGCTTATTTGCGACCGACGCAGTCAGGCAGGTCGCGTTCAACAAAGCCATGGTCCTCAACGGCGTTCCCTTGACTCGATAGGCGCGGGGTATCGACGACGCCGAGAGGGCTATGGAGGACGTCTATCAGCACAACAAAGCCCACCATAAACATACATATATGTATACATATATATACTCACGACGGAGCTGGAGAGCATCATTGAGGGGCCCAGCGTCTGGCAGCGGGTCGTCGACAACGCAATGGGCGATAACTGCAGCGGAACAGGAGATGCCGATGGCGAAGCCAGCCTACCACATAATGAAGCGTTGTCAAAGAGGCCGCCTACACCAGCACCGCCGTCACAACGGAAGGCTGAAGAAACCAGCGAAGGACAGGGCGTCGGCGCGCTGCTCAGGGAGCTCCAGGAGGACAGCCCTCGTATGGCAATAGAGGTCGACGAGGACAAGGCAGAGGCCAAGAAAGATATCGACTGCCTCAGGGAACACCTCTGAGAAGCAGCAGAATAAGCTCAGGAACATGCCGAAGTCCGACGCGATGAGGCAGCACGTGCCACGCGCGATCATGCGGATCTCGTGCGCGAGACCCGCTGCGCCAGGCCCTCCGCTGAGAAGACGGCGGCTCGTCGTGAGTTTCTACACGAGGAGCCTAGCGGCCCTCCAGAGGACAGAGGGGGGGCGTCATGATGTCAGGACATCCACCATGGCAGACCGCTCCAACGAGACGACCGTCGAGCTGCAGAGGGAGCTCTTAGATGCGCGGCGAAGGCTCAGCGACGACAGCGAGGAGCGCGCCGCCATGGGGCAGGAATTATTGACAGCGCAGAGAAGTGCTGCAGAAAACAATGGGAACGCGTGCACCAACGTGACCAACCGCGCTGAGAGGGTCGAGGAAGAAGCCGCGATGCAAAAGGCGCGTGCAGAACTACAGGCAAAACGGAGAGACGTGGAAACGCGACGAGCACCGACATCTGCTCTACGGCGTCGAGCGCCAGGTTAGGGGGGGGGGGGGGCGCTGGGCAGGCGCGGCAGCGGCGGGGCTGCTTGCAGGTCTGAGCGAGCGCGAGCACCAGGCGCACTACAGAGTGCCGCAGGCAGGAGGACAGGCGTAGCTCGCGACGCGCAGGATCGAAGTGGACGGGGCAGAACAACGGGGTGCACTTCAGCGCGAGATGCAGGCCCGCCGCCTGGAGGAAAACGAGTGGGAGGGCGCTGGGGAGATCCGCGAAAGGCGCGCGGAGGAGGCGGCCGAGGAGTGTTACCAAGCCCGTCGCGACGCAGCAATGGCGAGAGAGCCCTCAGCGACGCGAGGGCGGTTTGCGCCGTCGAGCAGGCCCCCAGCGCGAGCGCCCCCGTCGATGGTGACAAGCCCCGGCAATGCCCGCCTCGAGTGCCGCCATTCGCGCCTCGCCAAGTTGGAGATGGGGGCGGGGGGGCGCAGCTTGCCCGGAGTCGCAGCGGCGAGATGGCCGGGGCGGCCGACATTTCCCATGCGCTTGCGTCGCAACCTGAAGCGCCAGATCCAGCGCTGTGCCGCGCCAGCACAGCGACGAGACCACCGAGGGCCCCAACTGCGCCGTAAGCGGCGCGACGGCCCGACGGCGAGCAGGATTGCTTGCCCCGCGTCGGTGGCGCGGTTCGCCGAGTCGACGCCGCCGGGGCAGCTGGGCCATCTGATCGAGATCATCAGCATCGACTTCGACGCCCCGTTCACAATGGCGTGCCGAAATGACGTCGTCGCCGCGACGGAGGGGACGGAGGGGGTGGCGCCGAAAGGGGGTGGCGCCGAAAGCCACCTGCCAATTACGTGGATTCGTCGGCGCGCCTGGAGGGGGGTCATATCTGCCGCCTGCGCGGAAGCGCCCGGCACCGGCCACAAGGAGCTCGAGCGTGCGAAGGACAAGCAGGGCGACAGTCGGCCCCGGCGAGCCGCGCCAAATCATGCCGCGAACAGCCGACGCGTGTGAGCCCGCCGACTTGGTTGCGAGTGTCGACGTAGCCGACATTGGGGGGGTCGACGTGGTATCCTAAGCGGCGTTGGAACAACGACAGGCCACGCCGCGTATGGTGAGTCCGGGTACCACGGCGTGCGTGCTGCCCCGAGCAGTGTGACCCGCCGCAACGGGGCGACCCTGACCTCCTACGGATGGAGCACGCGGCTCAGACGGGCACGCTGCGAGGCCGCGGCTTACCACGCGGACCTGCCATGGCGCCGCTTAGACGGCGCGCAAAGCCGGGCGGCCCCAACATCCAGAGCGATGGAAAGACGGGTGACGTAGTAAACGGACGACGGCCCCTACCATTGCCAGAATCTGATTTGGCGTCGCCACAGAGTGCGGCGACTCCAGCAAGGGCAAACGGATGGGGCGTCGCGGCGACTTAGCGAACGAGAAATGGAAGAGGCCGTGGGGTCCCTGCTCCACTCTCGACGAGCGCGCCACCGCGTCGGCGGAGGCAACGTGTCGCATGCCCACGCTGAAGGACTTGCTGTGGCGGTCACAACCCAATGCGTCCACCAGCGACGGAGGTCAACCGATGAGGGCCGTGCGAGAGGGAGGTGCTCTGGCGGGCCGCGCCGAGGCGTCCGAGTCGGAGTGGGTTGGGCGGGTCTGGGCGACGGGGGCCGCCCAGCGCCGCCGAGCTTCCACTGCGCATTTTTTGTTTCAGATCTCGGTGGATGTTGGTGGCCAGGATCGTCATCGGCTCCCCGCCAGGACAGGGGACCATGTCGACCAACGCAGTGCCCAAAACGGGCTCGCGATTGCAATTTCATCGATCTCGGCCCTAGGATGTTCGCTGGGAGGTTGTGGGAGGCGCGTCGAGGGCCTCGGGGCAGTTTTGCGGCCTCGAATTGAAGCCCCAGGGGGCGTCTTCGGAGCAGCTCGGGGGCCTCTTGGGGCTTCTCGGGGCCCCCTTTGGGCCCCGAGACGGCATTTTGAGGCGGCAGTCTCCTCTTGGGCCCTTCTTGGGGTTGTCTTGGAGCTGTCCTGGGCGCTTCTCGGGCCGCCTTGGGTCCCTGTTGGGCTGTTTTGGGGCGTTTTTTTTTTTTTTTTTTTTTTTTTTTTTTTTTTTTTTTTTTTTTTTTTTTTTTTTTTTTTTTTTTTTTTTTTTTATTTTTTTTTTTTTTTTTTTTTTTTCTTTTCTCTTCTAGGGGTTATAGCTCCGTTTTGGAGCGCCGGGAAGACGCGCTGGCGAGTCCGCTTAACATACTTACGGACCACAAGAGCATTTATGATTATGGTCTCTTGTGGCCCTCCCCCTTTGAGCGTCTTGAAGCCTTCCTTAGGCCGTCTCGGGTCCATGTTGGGCGTCTTGGAGCTTTCGCTCAGCGATTCGATGTCCTGTGGGGCTGTCTTGAGGGCCTCCTGGGCCACTCTTGGCTCGTGACCGCGAGCAAATCACGCGACGGCGCTCCCCAGGGCCCAGGGGGGGCACGCGCCGCGCCCGAGAGATTCCGGCAATTCGGGGTCTGGGCTCCTTGTAGAATCTTTAGGGTTGAGGCTCAGGGAATGGAGCAAGGGACCCAAGGAGACTCCAGCTCGTGCCCAAGGGCACGGTGGCAAGCATAGAGTGGCGTGAACCCGGCGCGACCCCGATTAGGGCACTGTCTTTGGAAAATGAGCCTGGGCGCCAGGGGAACCCGTATTGTTTTATTTTTAATTTGAATGTATGTGCGTATATGTGTGGGGCAACGGGCAGCTGGGGGCGGGGAGCCCATGGAACTCGGGGGGAGTCCGAGGAACCTCCGAGGAACGGACAACGTAAAAGTACGAGGCGCCGGGGCGGGGAACCCGAGGAACCCGGGGAACCCGAGGAACCAGCGAAAAACGGGCACAATCATAATATTTGGCGCCAGCTTTTCCAGCACCAAGTCTTGACCCCAAGCTAGCCCAACTGGGGATAACATTTGAAGGAAGGAGGACACAGGATGAGGAAGAGAAAAATGGAACACGAAGAAAAGGAACATGATGATGATGATGATGATGATGATGATGATGATGATGATGATGATGATGATGATGATGATGATGATGATGATGATGATGATGATGATAATGATGATGCTGATGATGATGATGATGATGTGGAGAACAGGGAAGGAAAAACGAAAAGCAAGGAGAAAGGACGATGATTATCGGGATGGGGGAGGGTGATTGGGAGGGGGAGGAGGAGGATGGAGGAGGGGGGGGGGAGGAGCAGGAGGAGGGGTGACCAGAGGGTGGTAGTACTGGTGGTGGTGGTGGTGGAGGAGCAGGTCGGGACCCAGACCCCCGACGTCATGATTTTTCCCAACCATCCTGTGGTGTTGTGTCCTCGTTTTGAAGAGACGGTGCCCCGCGTCTCCTCTCCTTCCTTCCTCCTCCTCCGCCTCCTCCCCCCTCCCTCCTCCCTCCTCCCACTATCACGGCACACCCTCACACGTTTCGTGGCCCCATAGGAAGCTCCACCGAGGGCCCCAGTGGCTGCGTTGGCATGGCGGCGCCGCACTCATTTCGGCACACCCCTCACACGTTTCGTGGCCCCATAGGGAGTTCCACCGAGGGCCCCAGTGGCTGCGTTGGCATGGCGGCACCGCACCCATTTCGGCACACCCCTCACACGTTTCGTGGCCCCATAGGGAGCTCCACCGAGGGCCCCAGTGGCTGCGTTGGCATGGCGGCACCGCACCCATTTCGGCACACCCCTCACACGTTTCGTGGCCCCATAGGGAGCTCCACCGAAGGCCCCAGTGGCTGCGTTGCATGGCGGCGCCGCACCCATTTCGGCACACCCCTCACACGCTTCGTGGCCCCATAGGGAGCTCCACACGAGGCCCCAGTGGCTGCGTTGGCATGGGCGCACCGCACCCATTCGGCACACCCCCTCACACGCTTCGTGGCCCCACAGGGAGCTCCACCGAAGGCCCCAGTGGCTGCGTTGGCATGCGGCACCCATTTCGGCACACCCCTCACACGTTTCGTGGCCCCATAGGGAGCTCCACCGAAGGCCCCAGTGGCTGCGTTGGCATGGCGGCACCGCACCCATTTCGGCACACCCCTCACACGTTTCGTGGCCCCATAGGGAGCTCCACCGAGGGCCCCAGTGGCTGCGTTGGCATGGCGGCACCGCACCCATTTCGGCACACCCCTCACACGTTTCGTGGCCCCATAGGGAGCTCCACCGAGGGCCCCAGTGGCTGCGTTCGCATGGCGGCACCGCACCCATTTCGGCACACCCCTCACACGTTTCGTGGCCCCATAGGGAGCTCCACCGAATGGCGGCCCGCACCCATTCGGCTCACACGTTTCGTGGCCCCTAGGGAGCTCCACCGAGGGCCCCAGGCTATGGGATAGCTCCACCGAAGGCCCCAGTGCTACCGCCCGCATGCCCCGTACGCCCAGGACAGCGTTTCGTGGCTTCATAG